TTAAAAACTGCACAGAATTTTACTCTGCAGAACTACATTACCCCCCCCCTAAAAAATCAATAAAAAGGTATTACATATAGAAAAATTACAATGAAATAAGCAATGTCCCTTAATGCAAATATTAATTATCCTTATAAATAAATTAACCAATTTCCCGTGGCCTTCTCTTGACAAACGTCCAGTATCCAAAAGAAACATTAAATTTAAAACTGCATAGAATTGTCGCTCCCATTTTTCCGAGTGGCAGCAGTGATACATCAGCAACAGTGCCATTGTTGCCAATATTATGTGAGAGAATTTTCGATTTCATGCGATTTCATCAAAAAATGTAAAATAAAAAATAAAAAAAAACTGATTCGAATTCTGAAAAAAATCGCTTTGAGGTGCCCTGGGTCTATTAGCTTATTTGCAGCATGAATGAAAGACACACACACACAGAGACAGACTCTTCTTTTTATATATATAGATATAAAAAAATTACAATGAAATAAGAAATATCCCTTAATATAAATATTAATTATCCTAATAAATTAATCAACTTCCTGTTGCAAAATCTTAAGAATTCAAATGTATAAAGGAAGTTAAGAACTTTGTTTCTTAAAAAAATCATGGAAAACTTTTTATATAATTAAAATTATATATAATTAAAACATAATATAAAATTACAATGAAATAAGCAATAAATCTTATATTTTCAAGAGAAAATAGTCAGCAGTCCAGTATCCAAAGCAATGAATGAAAAACTGTTGCCAAAACCACATTTCTAAAAGAATGAAACTATCATCAGAAAGCAATAACCAATCAAAATTGTGCTTTGTGGATAGCATAATTCGAAGTATACAAACCTCTTTGCTGTTAGCTAATAGAGAGGGGGGGAAATTCTTTTGTGCCATGCGAGACACTTGCACGTCAAAATAAAATGATTGCCATATGCATGTTCCATGTCCAAAAATCGAAAAAAAATAAGCAGCATTTTATCTCATATTTTCAACAGTCAGCAGTCCAGCATACAAAGCATTGAATGAAAAACTGTTGCCAAAACCACATTTCTAAAAGAATGAAACTATTCAAAATGATGCGATTTCATCAAAAACATATGATTTTAAAAAATGTGATACGAATTTTGAAAAAATTTCTTCTATGCGCACTGGCTCTTGCCGAGATGCACCTATGTACCAAATTTTGTAGCCCTTGGTCCCTTTTCATCTGATGGAACAGGAAGAATTCTGTATGAACCAAATCTGATGATTCATCAGATTTGATTCCCACTGACGTCTTCCTGTATATACATATATATGGATATATTCCTGTGTGTATAAGGCATATAAGTGAATTTAGTTATTAGCATTGAGGCAGGAGACCAGTGAACGCTGACAACCGCATGTGCAGGAGCTTTGTCACAATGCAAGAACCACTGGCTGGAATTCCCCTAAGCCGGACGTTTTCACATTGCACTTCTGCGCAGACATTTCAACACCTCCAAATAGAATTGTTGCTTGACAGTCGTGTTTTGAGGGACGAATTCTCAGTGTGCGATCCCTTTGGCGTCGGAAAAAAAAATCACCATCGTCTTCAAATTCGATTTAGCCTGATGAGTCTTGTTTGGATGAAGGCGAGCAGGTGACTTCCATTATCTTTACTGTTTAGTTTCATGGTAGTACCCATAACACCATGACTCATTGACTGTAAGATTTTGGTGAAAAACTATGAATCTGCATCCTTCATTTCACGACAAGCTTTCATGCAGTGATCCATTTGTTCTTTATTTAGAAGTCTGGACGCAGTCAGCAACCATTACTCACATTACCAAATCATCATGCAGAATGCATTGAATAGAAATCCAAGACAGTCTGGATATGTCTTCGAGTTGGTCAATTGTTCCGAGTTAGTCTTCTCTGATGAGATAACGGATTTTGGTGATGTTGTCCTCGGTTTGTACACTTGAAGGATGAAAGGAATAGAGCTCATCTTCAGTGGCCATTTCCCCCTTTTAAATTGAGAAAACCATTCACACACATGTGCTTTAGTGAGAGCACGGTCTTTGTAAGTTGTTTGCATCATCAGAACAGTTTCAGATGCATTCTTGCTCAGTGAGAAACAAAACTTTATAGCTGCCTGCAGTGCGTGAGAATCTTCCATTTCTTCATATTATTTAATTTTGAGTCCCTCCTCATGTATATAAATTTCAAAAAATTCAGTTACATTTCAATTTTTCTGTCTGTTAATACTTTCAGTGGGCGTTCTTTGTTCACATTGCTGCTAAGTATTAGCATAATTGTGTTAAACTTCTGCTGGGAGATATTTTGTACAACTGTTTTATTATTATTATTATCAGTAATTTTCATGTAGATTATTTAATTTTTCAGTGCTACATTTCATAATAAAAAATATGGTACTATTCCGTTAAAGCAGCGTCATTTAAAAATAAAAATAAATAAAAAAAAAAAAAAATAGAAGAAAAGAATGCTACAATACACCAAATCATGGCTTGGGATTTCCAGTTTTCGTTTGAAATATCATCATAAGTTATTTTTATTTATTCTCTCTTTTTTTTATGTATTTCACCATTTTTTTAGTACAATGGACTACAATTTGGAAATTACCTAATAATTAAGAGGTTGCCATAAATATTCCTTCAGGACAAAGGAATAATTCATAGCAATTGACTTTGTTCCCAAAATCATCTGATGAAGTTAACTTTTCACTGAAACAAAGCTCCTATATAGCATTGTAATGTATGTTCTTCCTGTGGGGGGGGGGAACTGAGAACTAAAACATGATTTGAAGGCTTGTATTCTTTCCTCAGTGCCATTTGTTTTATCTGTCTGTGGTGTTAAGAGATTGACGTCGATTGAATTTTGCCAACTTCAGTTAGAAATTAGCTATAATATAACATAGATTAGAATAACTATTTGAGGGAGGTATGTGCAAATAGTTTGTCTCGTAAAAGAAATAAAATCTGTGGAGCCAACAAAATCATAGAAATAGATGAAAGTCTTTTCACACAGAAACACACACAAAAAATAAATAAATAATAACAAAAAAAAATTGGATATATCCTTCCGAAACAATAAGTATTCAGGGGTTTATGCCAGGAAAGCAAAGAATGTTTTCTGGTCGCCGATCCCGATCGTTCTGCTATAGCATTGATGACTGCCATCCAAGAAAACATCATGGATTTCAGCATAATTTTTTCAGACTGCTGGAAAGGGTATGAGAAAGAGGAATTAAGAAATGCTGAATCACAGTTATAATTTTGTAGACCCCGAAACTGGATACCATATCTGAACTGTGGACTGATTGTGAGACAGTGCTAAATGGAGAAATAAATTTCAGTGGGGCACTGCTTGCCACCATTTAAAGTTGTATTTGATAGAATTTATGTGGTGTCAGTTACAATCAAAAACTCAAATTTTTCTATAATATTGAATAATATTTGTAATTTTATGTCACCTGTTTAGATAAAATTTCGTTTTGTTTTGTTATTTTTTATTTGTGTGTAAAGTACTCTAGATTAAAAAATTAAAAAGAAAAATTTACTTCCTTTGAGAATTATGAAATTTAAAAAAATTACTTTTTGGTCTTTTGAACTCTATTATTATTTCATAATTTTATACTTGGCATGATGGCCAAAAGGAAAGAACCAAATTTTTAACTGACGCCGCTCTAACGCAGTAGTACCAAAAATATATAAGTATGACTTAGTAATAGACTAGAAGAAATGAGTGGGATGTAAACAATAGGTCATGGAGCCCTATGTTTGCATTTTCAAAGGGTTCAGTTAGCCCTCATTTCATTATTTATTCACAACAGTGCTCATCCGCATAAGGAGTAAGCTGGTGAGTGATTAATAGGATAGATTGTCGGCCATATATTCAGATCTGAAGTTATATAACATGTTTGGAGCTCTTGGGAGGGCTGTTGTAACTCACCTCCCCAAAACCTTTAAGGATTTAAAATTCATATTGCCACACAAGTGTGACCAACATACAAAGGAACTCTTAACTGCCTCATTTTCAGCATGAAGTTACATTGCAAGAGTTGTATAATTGTTAGAGGGGACCATATTTCCCTATTACTATTATTAACTTATGCCTGTACACAATTTCATTAATTTCTGACCATCAATTCTGAAGATAATTGACCCAATATTAAAATTTTGTTAATTTTTGAATATCAGTGTATGAAAATGCAGTCAAAACTATAAAACTTAGATTTAAAACAAAAATGAAGGAATACAGATCTGATACAATTTGTGATTTCATAATTGATTATTAATTTAATATAATAAATCTTATAATACCATTGCTGCAATATATATGTATATAATAGAGAGAGAGAGAGAAATATATAATTTACATCATGAATAATTAATTATACAGAACATATTGAGGCAATTAGGAAATGATGTAGCGAGTATTATTCATCCATTTCAAAAGAAAAAGGGAAAGCTATGGAAAATAAACTCTATAGTTAGTCTGGAATTTGAAAACCAGTTTGTGGTTTGTCTTAAATATAATATTTTATTTCTAACCAGTTATAATAAGTTGTTTTTATGAAAAAAATGTACTGTTTCTTAATAGGGTGTTGATGATTTTAATGTAGTGATCAAAATCACTAATTAAAATTAAAATATTGTTTGTTCAAAAATAGTATATGGTTAAATTTAGACTAGTATAGGGCCAAGGCTTTTCTGTGCTGTCCAGGAGTATTTTGTAAATGGGAATGAATTAGTCTCTTATTTTTTAAGGTGGAGATTCTGGAACTACCAGTCAATAGGAAGTGTCTGCTAAATGGGAGTGTCATTTAATGGATGTTCAACTATACTTAACATTGCTTATTATCCAAATTGGGAGGGAACTAGAAGTTTTACTAGAAAGGTATGCAGGCGCTGGTGGTTCATGCAAGGCTGAGGATGTTAATTATATTTTGGCAGTGAATGTTATGGTTATGTTTTATTCAACTGATAAGTGTGCTAATAAATTTACCTTTATTTTCAGATGTCGGGAAGTCCGTTGGATAAATTACCTCCTGAAGTAATTGAGAGATTGCGCTTGGTAATGGGAATAGTCCTTGATTATTGTCATACCATGCTGACATATGAGCAAGGCCTAAGTTTACCTGCTGACCTCCTGTATGCTAATAAATCTATAGGAAAACATGATCTTCCAGATAACTTTTGTACAGTTCTTTTCAATGACGAAATACATACCTATGAGCAGGTTAGACCATTTCCAAATTGTCAAGAAAAATCTTCAAATTTTATTGTTTAATGCTGTATAATGGATTGTTTTAAAAATTCTGATCATTTCAAAACCTTGCAAAATAATTCTTTATAACATTCTTGAAATTTTTGCTGTTCATTATATAAAGGATGTGTTAAAGCAATGCAGAATATTTTAAAATTAAATACATTTTCTGAATATAAGCTACAGTCTGCTTCTGAATGAGAATTTTACCTTTGGCAGCTTCTGTAGCTTAAAAAAAAAAATTATTCACTATGTTATCAAACTGAGAACACTTTTAAAAAGGGTGCAGCAAGAGAGTGCATTGCAGTATATTGGATTGTTCTATTTAATGATGATAACTTTACCTCCATGTTCAAACTTACTTTGAATAACATTTGGCAATAAATTGCAACATACCCTATTTGTAACTTTGAGTGAGGGTTCAGAGATCTGAGGACTGTATAATATCACTGTGACCAATACTTACATGCATTTGCATAGTTAGGAAACTTCAGCAGTAGGACAGCCGAAGCAGGTCATTTCGATGCCGTATTTTTATCTATTCTTAGAATAAATATGGAGTAATATAAATAAGTAATATGACTGATTTTTATTTATTGAATTCGCGATTGTTTGCATGCATATTTGAAATAAATATATGTGTGTATATGTGTGAAAGTGTTCTAGATTTTTGTTTGTGTCCCAGATTAGTGAGAAGCCCCCTCGCCAACGTCAAGGCCCCAGGACATGAGGGAGGGGGTTTTTTTCATTCATTTATTTATTTCACAAAACAGCATCAAAAAGGCAAAATACACAAATAGTAAATAAACATATGGTTACAAAGTACACAGTCCAGTCACATTAATGTGACCACCACGTACTTTCCATGTCAGAGTTAAATAACCAATCACAGAAGGCAGGTGGCAGCACAGTGCAGTTGAGCGTATATAAAGGGTGTGTGAGGGCTTCGGAAAACATTTCAATCGTTGGTGTAATGCAGAAACGAAGCGATTTATCCGACTTCCAAAAGGGCATGATCATCGGCTTTCGGGCCAAGGGTGGAAGCATTTCCGAAACGGCTGAGTTTGTGAACTGTTCGCGTGCCGCCGTGGTAAAGTGTACCGTGCATGGCAAAATGGGACTGTCCCAAAATCAGCGACGTGGCAAATGTGGTGCACCACGGGCCATAGATGACAGAGGCGAACGACGGTTGCGGAGATTGCGTTCGGGCAGATAGACGGGCTACCGTTGAGCAACTGACCACCAAAATGAACCAAGGGGCTACCAAAAGTGTCTCCCAAAGTACTATTCAGCGAACATTGCTGCGTCTGGGCCTCCGAAGCAGACGCCTGGTTCGTGCACCTATGCTGACTGCTGTTCATCGACGGCGAAGGCTAGAATTTGCACGCCAGTACAGCAGCTGGACGTCCACTGAGTGGCGACAGGTTGCGTTTTCGGATGAATCGCGTTTTATGCTCCATCGCACAGATGGACGTTGGCGTATAAGGCGTGAAACCTCTGAAAGGAACCACCCTACAACCATTGCCGGAACGGTCCAAGCTGGAGGCGGGAGCATTATGGTCTGGGGAATGTTTTCCTGGCATTCTCTAGGTTCACTGATCAATTGTGGAAGGCACAATGGATCAATACAAGTACGCATCTGTCCTTGCGGACCATGTTCACCCCTACATGCGCATTGTTTTTCCTCAGGATGATGGCATCTTCCAGCAGGACAATGCGAGGTGCCATACAGCTGCCAGTGTACGTGCGTGGTTCGAAGAGCACCAGGATGAGTTTTACCGTCCTCCCCTGGCCAGCAAACTCACCTGACTTAAACCCAATCGAGCATCTGTGGGACCATCTCGATCGAGTTGTTCGCGCCATGGATCCTCAACCGCGTAATCTAGCGCAGCTGGCCACGGCATTAGAGTCGGCATGGCTCAACATCCCAGAGAACACCTTCAGGGACCTATGTGACTCTCTTCCTGCACGTCTCGCAGCAGTCCGCTCTGTGAAAGGTGGTTATTCTGGCTTTTGACAGATGGTCACATTAATGTGACTGGACTGTGTAGTTGTATTATATTGCAGACAAATATAATTACAGGTAAATAAGATTACACATAAATAAGATTACATCGCAGAACTGTTATTATACTAATCCATTGCAAAGTTATGCGTCACACCTTTCAGGTATTCTATTATTTTTCGATTTTCAAAATCTTCAACTATTACTTTAATTCTCATATGAGCTCACAGATACCTATTCCGCTTGTGCGGCGGTTCATCTCTACATACAAATTGTTCGTAACGTTGATCAATTGATTTTTTAACATGCCTGAGACCATCTATGAATTCCCATAATGTGGGGTGTGAAATACCAAATGATGATGACATTAAATTTATTTGAATGATGATGCAAACTTATTCTAAAATTAAATAAAAATATGAAAAGTATGGCATCAAACAAAAGCAAAAAATTATGGCCTCGAACTTACCCCTCGTCAAAACGACCTCGTTTCGAATTGACCACGCGTCGAACTGACCTGTACCGGTAGGACAAGCAGTGCACTGACTTTGGCAGGTGGGAGGCTTTTCCTCACTGTTGTATTAAGGTTCGGCCACATGAGGAGATAAAATTGCTCGGTGATACGGTAAGATCTCCCTCACTAGCATGTAACGTAACAACATTTGCTGTGCTTAGGGCGATTTTTTTCCAAGTTGCTCCGAGCTGCTGAGACAGTCAAAGCGGATCACATGATTTGTATCCGTGAGGAGACCTCCTTTGGTCTCACAACAAGCATAATAATTTGCTAGTTTTCAACACCTTTATTTTTCAGGGCTTAATTTTAAAAACAAGTAGTAATAATAAAAAACAGAAACTAGCAATTACTCAAAAGAGTTTCTGCCCACAAAGATTCGCTTAAAAAATATTCAAATCGACTTTTCCCATCCTAATGCAGAATCTTATGAAGATCTCACCATGTTTCAATTAAGAAATGTAGTATCTCGCACTGATAAGACTTGCCCTGGTCCTGATGGCATAAGTTATTTGATGGTAAAGCACCTGCCCTATGAATCTCTAGTGGTCCTTCTTGCTCTTTATAATAAGATATGGAAGGAACAAATTTTTCCTACTGTCTGGTGCAGGGCCTTATTATCCCTATAGTAAAACCCGGCAAGGACCCAAAAAATCCTTTAAATTATTAGTCCATCGCGGTCACAAGCTGCCGTTGCAAGATTATGGAAAAAATGGGAAATCACCGTCTCACCTCTATCTGGAGACTAATCATTGCCTATCGCCTTACCAAAGTGCTTTCCGTAAGGGAAGATCTTCACTTGATAATGCCCTGTTTTTAGAAACTGCAGTACGCAATGCATTTGTGAAAAGAAATCATGTGGTTTCAATCTTCTTTAACATGGAAAAGGTGTACAATAGAACTTGGTGGCATGGAACTCTTCATGACCTTTACAGCACTGGATTGTGAGGTAATTTACCCATTTTTATTCAAAACTTTTTGAAGGACCGCACTTTCCAAGTCAAGATTGGTGCGCTGCTTTCTCAAATATTTGTATAACAGGAAGGTGTACCACAAGGTTCAGTGCTCAGTGTCACTCTTTTCAGCCTGAAAATTGATTCCATTTTAAGAGAACTTCCTCCCACAGTGTATGGTTCCCTGTATGTTGATGATCTGATGATCTATTGTCAAGGTCAAGATATGAGATACATTGAGAGACAACTACAAATTGCTCTAAATAGAATCATAAAGTGGTCCAACAACAATGGTTTTAAATTTTCTAGCCAGAAGACAGTCTGCATGCACTTCTGTCACAAAAGAAATGTACATCTTTATCCAGAGCTGCATCTTGACGGCTCTTTGATCCGCGTTGAGCCAGAAGCAAAATTCTTAGGAGTTATATTTGACAGAAAGCTCACTTTCCTTCTGCATATCTTAAATCTAAAGAAAAAATATGCTAAAGCTCTCAACATACTGAAAGTCCTGGCCAGTACTTCATGGGGAGCAGAACATTGTTCTATGCTCCGCATTTATAGAGCTTTAATCCGTTCCAAACTTGACTATGGCTGTGTTATCTATGGATCAGCAAGACCTTCTGTGCTACTGAAATTGGATCTAGTCCACCATCAAGTGCTACGGATTTGCTGTGGAGCCTTCAGAACATCTCCAGTCCAAAGTTTATATGTCATCTGTTTTGAACCATCTTTGGAATTCAGACACAAGCAGTTGTCCATTAATCTTCATTATAAAGTAATGTCACAGGCCGAACGTCCTGTCTGATTCATGACATCTGATCAGCACTGGCGTCTTTACCAAGCCCGTCCTTCATGTATCCCACCTTTTGATCTCCGCATTCACTCACTGATTGAAGAATTCAACCTAAATGATCTGCATCCCAAAAACTTTGACCTTTTCTGTATTGTTTTCTGGCAAGAAGTGAATATTCACCTACTTAACATTTTAGGAGAACTAAAGAAGAGCTGTACCAATGATATCCAATATCAATAATTTTCCTAGAGCATAGAAGCAGTTATTCTAACTACAAAGCAATTTTTACTGATGGCTCAAAGAATCATGATCATGTCGGGGCAGCTTTTGTTTGTGATAAAGAAATAAAGGGTAGTAAACTTCATAAGGCTGCATCTGTCTTTACTGTGGAAACTTTTGCCATTTTGAATTCCTTATTCTTTATCTCTAGGCTAAATAGCAGAAAGTTCATCATCTACTCTGATTCTCTGAGTGCTCTTGAATCAATAAATACAAATACCAGCCGCCCTTTGGTCTTAGAAATTTAAGGCACACCTCCGTTTGAGAAACGCATTATATTGTGTACTGCTGGGTGCCTGGACATGCTGGCATCAAAGGTAATGAACTCGCCGATATCGCAGCAAAATCTGCTGATATTACCTCAGAAAATGATATCCCTTTTACAGACATATGGAATTACATCAGAGTAAAGATCTTGTCCAGGCAGCAAGAATTCTGGGAATGCCAAACTCTGAACAAATTAAGGCAGGTAAAACCCAATTTGGAGTACTAGGAGTCGAGAGGGAATCAGAAGGAGGATATACTACTGACTTGCCTACGAATTGGTCATTGCAGACTGACACATCAGTATGTCTTGAAAGGAGAAAATGAGCCTATTTGTGGCACTTGCAACGTTCCCATTTCGGTCAATCAAATTTTAACCTGCTGTCCTGCTTTTAGTCAGAAACATGAATTTTATTTTAACACATTAAATGTTACCTTAACGAATCTCATTGGAAGAAACCCTCACATCATCCTCATAAGATTTTTAAAAGACATCTCTTTTTACCATATGATTTGAACTACATTTTATCCCTGCTCTACCTGTTGCTAGAGCATTTCTGTCATTTCTCCATGCCTTCATCTCAATGGAAGAAACCCCCACATCAACCTCATAAGTTTTTTTAAAAGACATCCTTTTCTACCATATGATTTGAAGTTATTTCCCTTTTCCCTGATCTACCTGTTGCTAGAGTGAATGGACATTTCAAAGTCATTTCTCCATGCCTTCATCAGCATCTCAGGTCCATTTCATCAATTCACTTGATACAATGTGTTTTGCATCTTGAATTTTATTCACCATTTGTCTAGCTCATAATAACCGTCAAGGTTTTGTGCCATTAAAAATTCAACCAACCAGCTCAGTTCAGTTCAGGAAACAGGACTTGAAATTTAAGTCAATCATGTGGATAACACCCATATTTTAGATTGACCACCATTTGGTTTTGTTCGGAATAGCTGCTATAATTTCCTCAATGTCCTCAATGATTAAATGAATACTTTTATTCAGCTTTGTGAATAGTTTATTTTTGTCCATTATGTGTAACAAATAAGTATACTTTTAGTTTTACTTTTTATATTTTTTTTGGGGGGGGTGTTATTTAATGTATCAAATATTGGTTTATTCTTGCTTAAATATTTAATGTAACTTTTTTTGGCAGTGTATTATTGGTCAGTAATTAAAGATTATGCTGTTATTTATTGCAATTTACATTTTCTTGAATACTAAATTGTTTTATATTTTAACTTTCAATCTTGTATTTTATTGTATACTATTAGATTTCAGTACTTTAATTCAAAATCTGCAACTTAGTTGTTTAAAGTTGCATAAATAGTATAATATTTTTTTGTGCAAAGGTATCAAAAATTATAAATTTTTTCTTTAGGTTCTAAAATTATATAAATCATAATTCCTATACATCTAGAATAATTATCCATTCTCTTTTAATGTATTTTGTTATATGATATTCTGGTACTTTTCCGTTTCGCCGGCGCAAATCTCGCCAAGCAGACTTTACTGGCGACAACATACAGTATACACACAAAAAATATTAAAAAATGTTAGTTCTAAGAATTCTTTTAAAAAAGAAGGCATAAACATTTTAACATCGCTTAAAATTTTATAAAAAGCCAATAAATAAAGACAGTAAATTTGTAAAAACACATTAATTTAAGAATTTACTATGCTTTCATGGTTGAACATCCTGATTCGCCGGTTCAAATCACGTGACCCCAAGCGATCTCATCTCACGTAAACTACTCTACAAAAATCTAATGCTCTCAGTAATTATCTACATTAATTTTACGTTAAATCTTAATTTGGAACACAAGTTTAAATGCAAGAAAGATTTCAATTCGTACGAATAGCTTACTCAAATTATGTAAAACTGTAGTGCTTTACTTCACTAATGCATTCTCATTAGAATGGATGAATTTAACCCTTGACTTTACCTTTTCTCTATTTTCGGCTTCGGGTAAGCGCTGTGATTGCATCCTAATTGACTTAATTACCGAAAATGGCCTTAGACATAAAACTCAACTATCTGATAAAAATTCTATGTAATTATATGCCAGTATTGAAAGAAACAATCAATCTAATAAGAAAAAACTGCGACTTGTTTTGAAATTGGGGCGTAAAAGGTTACCACCGAGAATATTCCCGTTTGGCATCGGTTGTACCATTATTGGCGACTTTATCGCTTGCGCCGGCAAAACGGAAAAGTACCGATATTCTTATTAGTTTACTCATTTTAACAAAAGCAAAAATTTCATATATTTTTCTTGAATATATTTTTCTTGTTTAGATTATGATTCCTTTAATTTAAAAATTTTAATATGTTCTTTTATTATTATTTGTTATTAATACTTATTTTACTAGAACTGTGAGCATTATTATAAATTGTCATGTTTATTATAACTTAAATATATGATGAAGATTTATTGAATGAGTGCATTAAGTTCCTTGTTTTGAAATATTTTTCCTTTGACTTTTATTTCAGGTTATTGAGACGTTAAATAAGGCTATTAGCTGTACTAAAAAAGCTGCAATTGATTTTGCGACAATGATAGATCGAGAAGGAAGAAGTATAGTGAAGAGCTCTACATTTGCTATTTGTAATCAGGTGCGGCATGTTATCGAGAGAGTTACTGCACGTCAAGCAAGCAAGCTCAAAGTGTTAGTCATGCAGTCAGAAATTATTGCTCATCAGACATTTGCCTTAAGGCTTCTTGCATGGTTACAGAAAATTGTGACTTTAAATGAAGGTTTGTTTTTCCTTTCTCTAAAATCAAGTCAGATAAAGTTTTATGATTTAAAATTCTGAGTTGAAATCCTGAAAACTAAAAAATGATTGATATAGTCAAGCTGTAGTATTTGATTCCTCTTTAAAAATAATTAAGGGGAAAAAATGAAATATGTAAATTATCAGATTATTTTTTTTATTATAATATATTAAGTACTGAATGTATCAAGGTCATTTTTATACTTGGAGATTTCTGATTTTAATTGGTTAGGACAATGCTTTTCAAATTTTTCAGAGCATTTTGTTATTTTCTCTAACTTTTATTGTGGAGAGGGACAAATTATTATTTTATTTGTAAATATTTTGTATTACAAGGTGTGTTCAAAAAGTTCGGTGAAGTTTACCATAAAAAAAAAAGGAAACAAGAGAAACAAGCAAAATAGCTTTACTGGCCTTCAAAGTATTCGCCATTAGCAACAATACACTTTTGACATTGGGTGTACAATTGTTAGAAACTGTCTGCAAACGCTTCTTTCGGTATGGCGCAAAGCAACGTTGTCACATGTTGTTGGATTTCAATAATGTCGGAAAAGTGTTGGCCTTTCAGAACTCCTTTGAGGCAGGGAAACAGGAAGAAGTCCGCGGGAGCCAGATCTGGAGAATATGGAGGGTGATCCAAAACTGGAACCTGATACTTGTCGAGGAATTGGGTTACACTGATCGCAGTGTGCAGCCGGGCGTTGTCATGGAGCAGATTCCACTGTCCATTCCGGTACTGTGGCCGAATCCGGCGTATGCATAGCAGCAGCCATTTCAAAACCCCCTCGCAGTATTTTGCATTGACGGTTGTAGCCGCTGGTACAAATTCACAATGGATCAAACCCTTACTGTCGAAAAAGACGATCAACAACGTCTTGATCCTGGATTGTGTCAAACGACTTTTTTTTTTTTTTGGAGGTGGGTGACGACGTTGAACACCATGCCATGGATTGCCGCTTGGTCTCCGGATCGTATTGATAGCACCAGGATTCATCCCCTGTACTTATTGTTTCCAAGAATTACAGATTCCTGTCACACATGTTGATAAAATCTCCAGAGGTTTCCATCCGGTATTGCTTTTGCTCGTCTGACAGCGAGTGCGGTACAAACCGGGTGCATATCTTATGTTTATGCAAATGTTTGTGCACAATGGTGCTCACACTGTCTAGGCTTATCTGCAATTCGCCAGCTATCGTTCTTAAAAATAGTCGTCGATCTGCCGCAAGCATCCTTCGAACTCGTTCCACATTGTCTGGAGTTGTGCATGTTGTAGGGCGCCCCGACCGCATCTCATCTTTAACATCCTCCTTTCCATCTGTAAAGCTTTTAAACCACTCATAAACACACTTTTTACTCACTGCTTCCTGACCTTAAACTTTCACTAACATGTTATGTGTCTCCGTCGCCGTTTTGCCTAACTTGAAACAAAACTTTATGTTTATGCGTTGCTCCATGTCACACTGACAGTGTTAAACTGCTCATAGCGTGTGCTTCCTCTTATCTGTCGTAAAATGGCCGTTAGATGGCTCTAGATGACATTTCTCTCACTGCATTTGCGTGAGTGCAAGATCCTAACCGACGCGGTTTTTTAATTAGAAATTTCTAATGCAGAAGCATCTATAAAGAATATACATTAAGAAGAAACTCATTATAAAGTAACTAGGGATGAAACAGATGTCAATTGGCTAGTTGCCAAGTACTTAATATTCGAGTTGAATTTGAGCTGGACAATGTATGAATTATGTTTTTTTTTTTTTTTTTTTTTTTTTTTTTTTTTTTTTTTTTTTTTTTTTTTATTTATTTATTTATTTATTTATTTAAAGAGAGGCTGAAATGAAATGTATATTTTTTCTCAATGGTGAAATTAAATGAGTACTTTTCAGGAGCTGCTATTTGTTAATCCAAAATATCCGTCCTCTCCAGTAAGAATCAAGGAAGTGAGTAGTGACATGTGGGATATCTAAAAATATGTTCTATCAGTAATGATGGGAGGGGGATTCCTAGTCAAAATTTTCTGAAAATCATTATTTATAAAATATAAGTCCAGGTATAACAAAAATGAAAACTGTAATAAGATCCATTGGTTTTTTTAGGTTTGGCAAGAATAGTTTTGCACTAACTACAAAATACTGATAGTTTTCTCTGGTTTCTATTCTAGAGACAAAATGAACTAACTGCATTTTTTTATTATTTATAACATAAATTTTGACTGTGAGTATTTTTCATACATTAATATTCATGGTGTCTCTGTGTAACAAACTCTTAAAATAGTAACTTGTTTTTAATTTGTAAATAAAAAATTCTTACATGTACCTTTTATCTGCATTCTTACTTTCTTTTAATTTTTTCTTCCTGCTAGAACCCCGCATTAAAATTTCAAACTTGCTTTAGAGTGTAATTCTGAGATTCCAGTTTAAAAGCAAAAATTTATGCAATAAGAAAACACTTACATTATCACTTTAACGATAATACTTTCACAAAAAATATTTCTTCATAGTGTTTTTCCAATAACTTGACTGTTTTATCTGCTTTCTTGGAACATTATTTATGCAATTTCATGTATAATAGTAAAAATTAACATTAATTTCCTTGTCATCAAAATAAGAGTGAAATGTTTAAAAATGTAGCTTTCTCACTGACTTAAAAAGAATTTAAGTTTATCCAGATTTTTTTTTTATATCAGAGCTAACTCTTTTTTAATTAATAGCTTATTCATTAGGTCTGTAGTTTTCCGTAAATTTATGATGAGGAGAAAAACATAAAAAAATAAATGGTCGTTTAATCACATTTCTTTGCAAAAGAGCCTTCTGGTTGCAAGGAAGAAAGGAAAATTATGTACATGGCACAGTTTAAAATTATATTTTTATGTACATTATCAAATTTTATTTTATATTTTTAACTTTATTTACTATGTATTGACTTATTATTTTGTTTTTTCAGGATTTTGCCAAATTTTCACTAACTGTATTATGGAAGGTGGACTTCTGGAAAATGTAATGCTAGTTGATACACAATTATGGAAGACTGCACGAAATCAATGGCATCAGCTTTTCATAAGTGGCATGCTTATGGAACAAAATTGTAAAAAAGCATTTGCTAAAAGTTTCACATCTGTATATCCAATTTTATTGAAAGAATTTATAGCAGATGATCATGATCACTCAATATCTGTTACATCATTATCTGTTCAAATTTTTACAGTGCCTACTCTAGCTCATGCTTTAATTCAAGAGGAGAATGCTATTACTGTGGTGTTGAGAGCATTTCTGTCTGAATGTGAACAAAACCGAAATGAAGATGGTAAACTTTCTTTTTCACGAAGTCAGAATAATGGCTTTCGTAGAGCACAATATATGCTTTATGATCTTGGTTATCTTGTTACTGTTACTCCATCACAGTGGAATGATCAGATACGAAAGAGTTTTCGTAATGGTTTACAATCATTTTTCTCTCTGTTAGGCATGATGCAAGGAATGGACTCTGTTGTTCGCCAGGTTGGGCAGCATGTTGAGTATGAGGCAGAATGGGAGACTGGAATAAATCTCCAACTAAAAGTTGCAAATGTAGCCTCATTGCTTCTTAAGTGGTGTGGTTCAGACTATGCTGTTTTTGTTAAGGCTTTTAGGGCAAATTTGAAGCATTTTCACTCTTTGCAATCCAAAACTACTTGTGTGGGAGTGGAATTAGCTAACCATTCTGCTTCTTGTATTGAATATGATGTGGCGTCTATGCCCATTACAATACATTTGCCTTTAGTTCGCTTCCTTGCAGGACTGTTTCTCCACTTAGAAAAATTCAGTTTATCTTACGAAAGCCCACAGTTTTTAATAGAAGGAATGGAAAGACCAAGCCCTGAGCAACTAATGGAACTTCCTCTTCGAACACTTGTGATGTTAGCTCAGTTTCGTGCGGGAATGTGGCGAAGAAATGGTTATTCTCTGCTCAATCAAGTTTATTTTTATCACAATGTCCGCCTCAGGGATGAAATGTATGACAGAGATATTCTAATGCTCCAGATTGCTGCATCAATGATTGAAAGTAATGAATTTCTAATACATTTAATATATAAGTATGGATTAATTAACTGGGCTGCAGAAAACTATGATGGTACTAATCGTAAATCAGAAGATGATAACATTAGACAAGTTTTAACTGTAGCTGAAGAATTCTTGAGTCTTGTCCTTGTAATAGTTTCAGAGAGGTTCACGCCAGGTTTAGGTAATGTGACTGAATCAGAAAAGATTAAGAAAGAAATCATTCAACTTCTGTGTATTGAACCAATGCCTCATAGCCAGTTATTCAAGATGTTACCGAAAGATCCAAATGATGAAACAGGGATGGAATATGTTGTTAAAGAAGTAGCAATTTTTAAAAAACCACAAGGGCCTGGCACTGGAAAATATGAACTTAAACCAGAATATTACAAATGTTTTAATCCGTTTTACTACCACTACACTCGAGAGGAACAATCAAAAGCTGAAGAAGTCCAGCTTAAAAGAAAGAAACAGCTTTGTGAGGAAATGTGTTGCCCTCCTCCAGTTCCACCAGAATTCTGTCCTCGTTTTGCAATAATAGCAAATATTCTTCAGTGTGATGTCATGTTGCACATAATGGAGCTGGTCTTGAAAAGAACGCTTAATTTGCATTCTGCTGCATTTTCTGAGACACAGTTGGAAAAAGTTTTGCATTTGATTGGTGTGGCTCTGCATGAAGAAGAACGAGCAACTCTTGCTGAAAAAGAAGGTTCATTTTTTTGTTTTACTGCCAAAGCAAATAAACGAGGATTTGTTGGCTTGTTAGAGGAATGCTTAAAGTCTCCAAGAGTAGATCTTTGTGGTGAACCACACAAAGATCTATTACGATGGGTCTTGAATAAGTACAAAGCTGTAGAAAGCCTTCATGTCAGAGACAGCAAACAGACACAAGAATTAGATGTAGCAACAGCAACTGCTAGTACAAGTGAGTCATCAGCTCAAGACAGAAAGCGAAAAGCTGAAATGGCTGCTGCCCGAAGAGCTAGAATTATGGCTCAGATGTGTGCTATGCAGAAAAGTTTCATAAAAGAGCATGCTGATATGTTTAAAGAAACACTTGTTGAAGATTCTAACTTGTCTAAATCTGAAATGGATATATATGAAGAGCTTCATACAGATGATCCAGTCTGTTTTGTCAAAGATTCAAAATGGAGAACTGCATCTCCAAAAATATATACTTGCATATTATGTCGAGAAGATCAGGAATTGACATGTGCTGGCAGAGCTTTAGTTTTGGCAGCATTTGTGCAAAGGTCATCTATTCTTTCTAAAAATCGCAAACATCAACTTATTGACCCTGAAACATATGATCCACTTCTGCTACCAGCTGACTTGTTTAGTGCTCCTCATGTTAGCACTTGTGGTCATGTTATGCACAGCGATTGTTGGCAAAAGTTCTTTGAATCAGTTCTACGTAAAGAGCAGAGGAGACCTTTGCGGTAATTTTTTATGTTCTATTATGTAGCAGAATTATACTGAGGAAGCATCTTCATTTAATGATAGAATTTGTATTTCAGTTAAAGAAAAATAAATAGTTATTGTACACAAATATTTTATTAAGCATATGTAAGTATGTTGATATGAAATTCAGAAGCTAAAGTATCAAGATTTGAAATTGGAAAGCAATTGATTTTGTAAATCACTGCTCTCTGATGATGAGCAAAAAGATACAAAAAATCCTTCTTTTTTTCATTTTGTTAAAACCTTTTTACTAAATAAATGTTTTTTAATTTCTTTTAACCAAGTTAAATAATTTTAACCTTGTTCTCCATGAAATACTGAGTGTTTATACCCCTTTCATGTGTTAATATATTTAATTTTATGTAAGAATGTATGTAACTATCTGTGCATGTATGTATACATGCATGCACAAATAAATGAATGAATGTGTGATGATAATGAAAAAATATGAAGAAAATTATATGTGCTATAAGCAGCAGTATAGAAATAAACTTAAATTTAGGTTTAAAATAAAAGATGCATAAGAATATTGAATAAGTAAAACTCTTTAATATTTTATTATGGCTAGAAATATACTATGCAGGTTGACATTACAACCATTATATGCTTCATGTTCAGATGGTTGTTATAATCTGAACCTGAATGAATAGGTTTCCAGTAACTTCTGAACTAGCTTTGTTTATTCAAATTCTTGTGAATATTTTTTTTTTAAATCTAGTTTTAAATTTAAAATATATGTGGGGAGGGACACTAAAGAAGTTATTCTCGATTAAGTAATAGGAGAAAGGTATAATAATGTATTATAAGCTGCAGTATAGAAATAATAGTCTAAAAAACATTCTCTCTCTCTCTCTCTCTATATATATATAGTATATTAAAGGTTTTCTCTAAGTTTTATAATATTTGAGGGATAATTGATAATGCCATTGAACCATTTATATTTTTCCAACTACAGCTTCATTATATAGTTTGAATTTAAAGTTTGTAATGCAAAATAGTTTTCATAATTTATTAATGAGTCATTTAGTTTAGCAGTAAAAATTGTTTTAGTTTAATAATACCAGAAAACAAATTGTTTTAGTTTAATAATACCAGAAAACAAATTGTTTTAGTTTAATAATACCAGAAAACTGTTTAGTAACTAATTATGTTTAGTTTGTGAAGTTGCTTGATTTTTAGCAATTTTTATTTTTAGGGTAAAAATAGTTATGTATATAAATATGTGTGTATAGATTATATGGAACTCGGATACTTTGTTAAGTTATATGCATTAAATGGCAGTTTTTATTGTAGCAGAATTATATGAAATTTTTTATTCGGTTATATGTAATCTTTTTTAATATTATAAATGATTTTTATCAGCCATTGTCATTTTCTAATAAGGCTTTATCTTTTTTGTTAATATTATGTCATTTTCCCCCAATAATCCAAGTAAAAAATAATGCCACATTTGTCACTTCTTGTCATATTTATTCTAGTTTTTAACATCCTATGTAAATATGTTAATAGCTCTCAGTAAATTTATTTTTATTTAATTGTGAAAATGACTTATCTGGCACCCTGCAAAAATGAAAGAAATCAGCATCCTAGCCCGCTGCCAATGTTCCCTATACTTGAGCTGGTTATGAGGACGCATGCATTGTATGTGTCTGCATGTATATTTCTGTATACACTCTGCTGCAAAAAAAATATATGCACTTAGAAAAACTGAGCGACAGCTATGACACTCTGCATGAAAATGTGGTTTGGTGAGATGTGTAAATGATTAAACTTGCAGCACCACTCAGCATTGTGAAGTGCTGAGCTGGTAGAATGTAAAAGGACAGGTGCAGTGAGTGACGAGTATTTACAAACATGCTGACGGCTTGGATATACATCACACTGCAGTGAAAAATGTCTTTAAGACATACTCAACAGCATTACGAACAGTTGCCAGGCTTTGCAAGGGGTCACATTATAGGGTTGAAGCTCAACCAGCATATTAGTCGAAGCAGTATGGTTGTTGTTGGAATCAGTGGCTCAGTGAAGACATGATCAGCCACCATAGTGGCTTAGGACTTCCCCAAATCGCTAGTGAGCTATATGATCACAATTATAAGAGCTGCCATGTCTGCACCAACAGTTATGCTATCATTGATTCAAGGCCATCTGCCAACTCACTGGGATCCAGGGATATGGTTCGCAGAAGACTAGGTGAATGTGGGCTCAGATCTCGTTGTTGATTAAGATGCTTGCTGTCATCTTGCATGGTGCTGCTGGACAAGCTCAAGGTGGACAATGTTCAGTTAAAGAAATGTGATCTTCAGCAGTAATTCACGCTTTACTCGCAATGTTGATGACCACCCATATATGTCTGGAAATTGAGAGGTGAGCGGTCCAGTGTACCGTTTGTTACCTAGTGGCACTCAGCCATACACAATGTGACAGACTAGAGAGCAATGAGCTGGGACAGCCATTTGTGCTATAAGGTATGTTGATGACATTTTGCAGCTGATCGTATACTGCCTATGCTAGCAGGTAGTCCAGGTTTTGTTTTCTAGCAAGACGATGCTCAGCCATCTACACGACTTTCCCAATAATGTCTTCAACATGTTAATGCCCTCAATGAGCCTGCCAGGTCTCCAGACCTACTGCCTTTGAAACATGTTGGGCAGGCAAATTCATCTGTGAATAAATATGTCCCAACTCGCTGACCAGTTGCTCCATTTGTGGCACAATCTATCGTAGAGGGACATTGGCAACTTAATAGACTCCATGCCCAACTGAGTATCAGCTTATATAACTTCCTGTGGTGATTTTACCGCCTGCTGATTTTCATATTCTTTGTAATGCTACTCATAAATAAAAGATTTTTTCAGCCCAGTTTTGTATCATTTGTTTATCTATTCGAATGCCAAACTGCTGCTGAGTTTCATAGTTTGGGCTCAGTTTTTTCTAGGTGCATGTATTTTTTTGCAGCAGAGTTGTGTGTGCATATATGCTTATATGTATATATACTCATACACTTTTTGTAAACATTACAACACTATGGAAGAATTGTGCGAATAAACTGCAGCTGAGAGGAAAGGTAAAAAATGTTTAAGTTACGCAAACTATTAGAATTTCAGAAAGATAGTGCATGCTTTAACTGAACAGCTCTCCTTCAGCTATCATGTTAGATTTATAAATAGAAGGCCATAGTGAAATGTTAAAATTAGTGTTTCATTATCTACTGTTAAATGTTTCACAAGTCAGTATGTGTTGTCAGTGGCACTGGGTCCAATATAAGCAGGTTATGTAATTTAAACAGATTTGAATGATCAGCCTGTAAGAAGAAGGATTTTTCTGTCATGAAATCACAGCTCACATAAGGTATGATGAATATCGGTGATGTGCATGTGGAAACAGTGAGCTGAAGTGTGTACCAGATAAGTGACAGACTTTGCAATGGACCACAGAATGCTGCATCAGCACAGGATGAATTTCACCTCATCCACATGATACTGACAGACCATCTTGATGGTTGGCACAGCTCTGGAGCACTGGTACAAATATTTTGTTGTTAACTTTGGCAGTTCATTAGGTGCAATATGCTGTTTGCATATTGCACCTGTAAGTGGTTTCCAATGAATCTTGTTTCAGTTGGAAGTACAACGATACTCAAAACACATTAAATGCTATAAGAGTAAACACCATCTTCCCAAGTGCATTATCTAGCATCTTATTGAATGATTGCCTAAGGGTGATGGCCTGGGGAGGCTGTTGGATGAGGGGTGATATTGTCTTATAAGAGCCTAAGATACTTTTGTTAGTAATAGCTGTATTAGGAAGATAGTAAAGCTAGAAGTCTTACTCTTTATTCAGTGCATTTCTGGAGGTAAGTAGGCAGATATAAGTGTAGAGGCTATCCAGTATTTATCATAAATGAGTGGGTATTGATCTCGTACACTACATGTCCATATTACCAACATCCTTTCATGGCACCCTAACATCTTCAGACACTGCAATAATGGGTTCTAGGAAAAAAGCCCACAGAATAATGCTTACAGTGAAAAAACCCATATAGAAGTATGTCCACATAGAAAAAAGCTCGCATAGAAATATATTCACGTGGAAATAAGCCCACTGATAAAAAAAATCACGTAGAAATTTCCGTACATCAATCAATCAATAGTTAATGGATTCGAACATAGTGCAGCTACTTGAGTTTTGTAAATAAAAATTATCCAAAAATTCTATGATATATATTTCAAAAACTATAACTTATGTATAGATTCTATAGCAATATATGATTAATAAATATGCTGTTTTGTATTAAGAAAAAAAGAGTGGAGGAAGGAAGTAAAAATGAAATAAAATATACAATTAACAAAATATTGCAATTTTAATTGTTAAGAAAATTTGTAAACATTTAGAAGAATAAGCAAATAGAAATAATTACTTTATTTAAATTACTAAAAATACCTTATTGTAATTAAATCATAAATATATATTTCAAAAAGTTATCAAAACATAAACTTACTGAATATTAGCTAATATACACAAAAATCTAATTTTATCATCTGTTTCATCATAGTCTCTTACGTGATTCACGATTACTGAATGTATGTTTTCATATTTTCTTTTTTCCCCTTTCACTACACCTTGAATTTACATTAGCTAATAGCAAACGTTGACATGCTAATTTTTTTTTTTCAGTTAGTCAAATAAAAACCGCATACTGGGATGGCTGCAGTCAATGAATTTAAGGCATTATGAAAGCCTTCTCAACAATTTGTGGTTTTAGGCGATTTTTTGAAGAGTGTGTTGTAATGATTCCACACTTCGATTGGGAATTGTGGTCGTCTACCCATAAAGCCCTGGATGTATGTAAGAATTTCATTTATACCTGTCTTTGTTGGGATATGTATCAGCAATTTGATCATGAACTCTTCTTACTTCATGGGGTGGAACAAACGATAAAGCCGCAAGTGATTTTATCATTATTTTGTAATCGATGCTTGTTTCAAAGTCATTCTTTAAACAAACATTTAAAATTTTCTCTACAATACTTTGGCATAAATGAAAGTAACATCCTTTTATCTCAGTGTGTGGAAAAGCATTGGCTGCAGCATTCGCACATGGCTTTTCAAAATCGACTAAAACTTTGTTGGGAGCCAAATCCAGAAATAAGTTTTTAATTATATCAAACATTTTTGTATAGATACCTTTGGTCTTTTTTGTTAGTAATAAATTATACACAAGGTGGATAAGAATTGCCAAATGTACAGCTGGTAAAACAAATTGGGAACTTTATCAAAGTGCTGTCTCCGTAAATTGCATGTTTTTTTAATTCCAATAATAATTCTTTATCACCAAACACCAAAATTCTGTCTGGATCATCAACACCACTATCAAATAGAATTAATTGAATATATTCACTCAAAATTTTACTATGATTTTTAATTCTTTTACATACCGCCCCTGAAAGGGTTAATGTGAGCATATTTCTATTCCAGCCTCTTTCTGTGTGAGCATTTTTCCATATGATCTTTTTTCTGTGTAGACGTTTTTTTTTTTTTTTTTTTTCATGTGAGCATTTATATGCGTAAGTATTTTTCTGGGTACCACAACGATGATGTAGTTGATTTTGGGCAACATAAATATAATAATTCATGGTAATTAACATCTACTGGCATTCCTATATATGTGTTTCAGCAGAACAATACTCATCCATATATTGCTAGAAATGTTTAACTTTACCTTAAGATCTTGTTCTTCCTTGGCATACTCATTCACCAGATATGTAGCCAATTGAATGTGTCTATTATTTCATGAACAGGCAACTCACTCATGATACTCAGATCAGGGCCAGCATCAGAGGCTGTGCAATCAATGCAGTTGCACAGGCTAATTTTGGAATTTAGGAAGCAAACAGGCAGTAAAATTTAGAAGTTGCAGAGTTTGCACCAGGTAACAAAATGCCTACTGCTTGTCTTGGCTCAGATAGAAACAATATGAAATGCTATTCCTCAGGTATATATTCAGTTCAAATATATACCTCATTGATTCAATGCCACACTGAATAGAAGCTCTTATTGCAGTGCACAATGCTTAAATCTGATACTGGTTTGAGAATTTAATATTCTTGTATTATTTTGTAATGATTCTGATGTGTAATTTTCACAAACAGGAGTATATAATAAATAAAGGGTACTCTCTGATTTCCAGAAAAATTGCCTATTTGTTGGAAACTAATTATTCGCCAACCTCATGAAATATAGTGGCCATTTTAAAAAATGGTGTGTCATTGAAAATTACATAAACTAGCAGCGAATTAGTGAAATTAAAAATATAATAACATCCCCAATGAAACACTGAAGATTACATAAAACAAACACCTATAAAGAAATACTGAAAATTGCATAAAGCAACAACAAATTAACTAAATTTTGAAATGCAATAAACATCCATAATAAAGCATTGAACTCCCTTTTTTTCTGATCTTCTTGTCCATGTGCCCATAAATCTGTTTTAACATTAAAAAAATTGGAGAATTGCTGAACTCTCGGCATTACAGAGTAACTTGGCACTGCTCTCCATATATACATTGTACTTTTTTATCTTGAAAAAAAAAAATGGAGACTTGCATAAATTTGGAAAAGGCTATTATTACTAAAAAAATAAAATACAAGCCCCCCCCCAAAAAAAAAAAATCTGGAAGGTTTCAGATTTTAAATTACGCCCAAATAGGCATTTTTTTTTTTTTTAACATTTTGAGTGTTTTTTTTATTTCTTAAATATCATTTTCTTTGCACTTAAACCATAAAATTCGGTTCAGTAGCAATGTCGCAAAATAATTTTAAAATGAGCATATATTTAGAATTTCCAATACACAATTCTGTGCTCGCGGGAGATAAAAAGATTCCCCCCTCCCCCGGTAGAGTGTTGACATTGCTTGCTTTTAAATTGTTGAGTTTGTTACTCAAAAATTCGTTAAAGTTTTACAAAATATGAAACCGATAATCAAACGAATTCCAAATTTCAAAATTTGGTCTTCCACATGACCATATTCATAGGAGGATTACATCATTCAAAGTTGGATGACTCTATGTACCATTGTTTTATCACAATGTGAGAAATATATGTACATTTATGCACATTTTCCATTATTTAATTTCTTCAAATATAATGCAGGACTTTAACATTTGGTGGCAACAGTTTGAAAAGTGAAACGGACATTTATAGTGATTCAACGCAAAATCGCAAAATGAAAACAATAATCCTTCAGGGACAAAGCCCCTTTTGACTAAAAAAGGTTAATTGCGCTTAATTGGAAAAAAAAATTTATCACAGTCACCTAAAAACAATTCATCAACTATTTTAAAACTGCAAAATTTCTATAATGTAACATCAGAAAAAATAGCTAGCTTTTTTTCATTAGTGGGCGAACTCCACAATGGCATTGCAAGGGGAAAAAATTCCACATATTAATAACAAGTAGAAGCCATAAACATGACCCTCGAATTTTAAAATCACATTCATTACACACTGGCATAATACCTCCACAACCATTAGTGGTTGGCAAATAAATACCTTTTCATTAAACTCTGAGTTGCCTACTTTGGTGACATAGCACTTTGCCTGATGGTTCTTCATCAGCGTTGGGCAGGTAATCAGAGTACCAAATAAAGAATTGGTAAATACGTAAATATATAATGAATTTAATATGTAAATGTGTATGTAAGATGACTTTAGTATTTTATGAAAAACAAAAGTTATTCTGCTACATTTATTATCATTTAGGTATTTAATTTTGAAGTATATGAATTTTATTGTTGATATTGTACATGTAGCTGTTACTAAAATTCTAACAGTTCTGTGTTCTATTTATTTAAATATTAAACTATATAATTTAATAAATTATTATTGTTAATTTTTCATAGCAATGCATCAAATGTATCTTTGTGCCACAAAGATGGCTACTACAATAAAGTTTGATGTTAATGTGTGTCTGTGCGTAAGTCACTACTACAAATAAAAATTATAATGTTAGTAGTTCTGCTGTTTCAAATATTGCCAAGTTTTCCCATCTGTATTAAAAATGTGCTTCTCACCCCCTCCCTGTTATTTAAGTTCTTGAAAGAATAATAATAGTTATGTTTCAGTTTTGGAAGGCATACAAGTTTTGATGTTGAAAAAAAAGAATTTTTGTGCCCATTGTGTGAACGCCTCAGCAATAGTGTCATTCCTATAATCCCACCATTGTCGACACTTATTCCACCATCAGTAGGCATAAATCAGGTTGAAATTTCCATGGATGAATGGTTAAGTGCTATGAAGAAAGTGGCTGAAGGTTTTCAGTTAGAAAAACTAGAAGATCTACCTGATGGTAAGTTTTTCTTTTCTCAAATGGTTTACTCATGAGATTTAACACCTGCTTTCACAAGCAATTGAAATTGTTGGAACAAATAGAATAATCATAAGGTTTCTTACCTTGTTTCTTCACTTTACACACCATTTTGACACTGGTAAGGCTGCCTTCTTAAATCAAAAAGGCTACTAAAAGGTAACACTTATCACTTATTAATCATTTTAACACACACTTAATATACATTAGACGCTTAAATATAGTAATAAATCAAAAAGAAGTTAGGGTCATGAAAGTTTCTGGGCATGTGCAGATGCCTGGTAATCTGAAGCACTCCATTCTAAGTTTGCCATTCATCATTTTTATGTGAATAACATGGGTATTTGGGTCTTGTTCAGGATAAAGTTCAAGTATTCTTCCCATAGGCCTGTCTATTCATTTTCTGTTGTCACTTTCAATAAGAACAATTTGACCTAAGGGTGGCTGGATGTTTGTACTTTGAGTAAGACCACAATTGACCCAGGTATTCTATCTGATATCTTTTCATCAGGTCTTGCTTAAGTTTTTGACGATAACAAAAATGTTTTAATAAATGATTTGACTTGAAAACATCTAATTCAGGTAGAGATCCAGTAGGTATTTCTTGTAGAAAAGGTTAAAGGTTGCAAATCTTCAACATCCTATGACAGTCAAGGAATGGCTATTGATTATGTATTCTGCTTTGCTTAAGATGGTACCCAGTTCATCATCATGTAGTCGAGCTCGTCCCAGATTTCTTCTTAAGAACTGTTAAGTCATCCCAATTAGTTGCTTCCACCATCCGCCCCACCAGGCAGAGGTAGGAGGGATGAAAATCCACTGAATCCACCTAACTGAAGCCAATTCCTGTACCTTTTGCCGTTCTACTTGATAGAAAATATTGTTGTGCCCACAATATTTGTACCATTGTCAGAATAAACATATAAGAGTCTTCGTTTTCTTGATACGAATCTTCGGAATGCTAAACAAAAAGTTCCAGTGTTCATACTAATTCTACGTGCACCGCTCGAATCATAGCGCTTGTGAAGAGAACGAACCAAGCTTTATTTCTTAAGTATAATGGCCCTCTTAAATGAGTTCCTGTTATTTCAAATGCAGTTGTGTTCTTTACATGATTTTCTGGCAAAGGGGAAAGCATAACCTCAGCATTGGAAGCTTCAAATCTTCTGCAATTCTTCGCAATATCTCAAAACTTCACAAACAGTTTTTCTATATCTTAATATCTAGAAGTTTTCTGTCAGTTGAGATATCAACATATGTATTCCAGCATGGCCTCCTAATCTTTTGTGATGTTCCAAGATAAGCAAACAAACAACTGGATGTTTGCTAGGCAATATTATTGGCTGTTTGAAACTGTTGGTGTCTTCTCGTTGTATAAGACTTGTAGTGACACGGATTAAACCATCTTCATCAAGTTGAGGGTATAGATATTTCAAAACGGGATTGGTAATTGAGCCAAAAGCTTCTTGCTGTATGCTTTTTAGTAATATCAGTTCAGCTTTTTCTCTTTCCTTGACAGTCAATTCTTAATAGAACCCTTCTAACTTAGGCTTCTTGGCATTTGCTATGAAATGTTTCATGCAGGCAAACATTCTAACTATCACCAAGTAGGAAGAAAAACCTATTGTGATACTAGGGTATCTTTTTAGTGTTGATCATGGCCATCTTACTTTTCTCTTGATTTAAACTTTCTTTGTCAGCTAAAATTTGAGATTTGGCCATTCCTCTGCTGAAGATTTTAACTGTTCTGGACCTTGTAACCATCTTGGTTACAAGGTCTTCGTTTTATAATAAGGTATCTAACAGAACTTCCTCTAGACAGAATATCTGCTGGATTAGGATTTCCCAGAACATGATGCCAATAATCAGGGTTAAGCAGTTCTCTTATATGATGTGACCTATCGGTGACAAAAGTCATTCAGTGCTCATCTCATTTGAACCAATTTAAGGCAATGTTAGAATCCGTCCAGTAATGTGTTCAGGGTTGCCACGCTACCTGGAAAACCGGAAAAAGTCAGGAAATTCGAAAATTGACCGGAAAAGTCAGGGAATTTAAGTATTTTTGTCAAAATCTCAAAAAGTCAGGGAATTTAAGTATTTTTGTCAAAATCTGGAAAAGTCAGGGAAGTTCATACAACAATCCCACCAAAAAACGCGACTTTTGCGCCGACGTCTGAAGAGATAACTTTTTTGGCGAATTGTGTATCACGCGAGTGTCATTCGGGCAGCTAGCATAGAGCCAATTTTCGCAGCTCCAATTTGATTGTCTTTTAGAAAGGCAAAGCAAGTTTCCCGCAACTTTTGGTTTCCAGTGCAGTGCATGAATTAAAGAAAGTATCTGTTCTCGTATAAAACAAAATGGGTTTAATCCTAGTATACAATACCATGGAGGTTAGAATCAAAGAATATGTATTGTAAAGAAGGGAAACAGCTGTGCATGCGTGATATATCTGTCGCCAAAGCTCGAAACCGGTGTCGAAGTTCGAAGGTCACATTATCAAGAGTTCATAAAATGAATATCGTTTAAAATTTCTTTAACCACTTGCGCAAAAAAGACATGACACGCACGTTGAGATGCTTTTGTCTCAAACCACGAGCGACGTGAACACCACGTCGATAAGCATTTATTGCAAAAAGGAAAATAACGTGGTGCACACGTCGCCTAACAACGAGATTGTGTATTTCTCGAGTTACAGCTCTGGATTGCACTCGCAGATGCGGAGCGGCGTAAATGAGGCACTTTACCGCTTGTTATATTGTAGCGCACGGCACCGCAACCGTGAAGTTTAGTCTTAGCGCAAGTGGTTAAACTCTGAAGGAAAAGAAGATATTTTTTGGTGCAAGTAAATTAATTCATGGATTAGTTTTCAGGGGAAAAAAAAAAACTACGAAAACCCGTTTTTAAAATTATTGCAAAAAATCCAAGAAGAAACGTCCTTTGATAAAACGGAGTTTTTGCAATAATTTAAAAACGGATTTTCGTAACTTTCTTTTTGTCAAAGAACGTTTCTTCTTAACACCTGTTTCTCAATTTCCTGTATACATCGCGGAGAGGGAAATTCTGGCCGCCAGGTTCCGTCGCCAAATCCCTTGGCAAATTTTCCCTCCGCATTCTAGTGGCGTAATAACATTTTACTTGTATGGAACCTTTTCTTCTTTACATAGACGTTCTTTGGTTAGAATAATCTCCATGTATGGTACAATGGGATTTGGCGACATGACGATGCGCAGTAAATGGGTCATTTTGGTCTTGGCGACAATTTTCAAAATTGTGCCAAAGCCTTACCGTATACTAGAATTTTACCGCAAAATATTTTTAAACCTTTTTTTTTTTTTTTTTTTTTTTTTTTTTTTTCGGTACTTTTCCGTTTCGCCGGCGCAAATCTCGCCAAGCAGACTTTATTGGCGACAACATACAGTATACACATAAAAAATGTTAGCAAATGTTAATTCTAAGAATTTTTTATTTTGAAGGTCATAAACATTTTAATATCGTCTAAAATTTTGTAAAACTGCAATAAATAAAGACTAAATTTGTAAAAAGACATTAATTTAAGAATTTACTGTGCTTTCATGGTTCAACATCCTAATTCGCCGGTTCATATCACGTGATCCTGAGTGATCTCATCTCACGTAAACTACGCTACAAAAATCTAATTCTCTCATTAATTATCTGCATTAATTTCAAGTTAAATCTTAATTTGGAATACAAGTTTAAGTGCAAGAATTATTTCAATTCGTACGCATAACTTACCCAGAAATTATGTGAAACCGCAGTGCTTTACTTCGCTAGTGCATTCTCATTAAAATTGATGAATTTAAGCCCTTAACTTCGCTTTTCTATATTTTCGCCTTCGGGTGAGCAGTGTCAAAATCCATGAATGTCCTTAAAGCATAAAATTGAACTATATGGTAAAAATTCTATGTAATTGTATGCCAATATTGAAAGAAACAATCAACATGATAAGAAATGGCTGCGAATTGTTTTGAAAATGAGGCGTAAAAGGTTACCAGCGAGGATATTCAGTTTGGCATCAGTTGTACATTACTGGCGATTTTATCACCTGCGCCGGCAAAATGGAAAAGTACATAATTTCCATACAATGGGATTTGGCGACATGATGATGCGCAGTAAACGGGTCATTTTGGTCTTGGCGACAATTTTCAAAATTGTGCCAAAGCCTTACCATATACTAGAATTTTACCGCAAAATATTTTTAAACCTTTTTTTTCCCTTCTTTTTAATAAATACCTTGCCATTTTGCAGTAAAATAAAAAAATAGTAATCAGTCATCTAGGCTAACCATGTAATATAACTATATTCGCTAAAATATGGTTGAGTATTCTAATTCAATTTTTAAGTAATTATCTTTATTTTTATGTTATTCGTATAATTTAATATTGCTTCTTCCCTCTGAATTTATTTATTAGTAGTAAATAATATTTCCAAATTTCAGGAAATTTTATCTGGGATAATCCTGAAATTAATTCTAGCAGTATGATGACATACCATCACGAAATTTAATGCACGTATTTTTTCCTTATGTATGCTGCGATACATAAGGAAAATAAATATAAAATACCTCAATTCATTAAAATAGGTTTCTTTCTTTCATTAAGCTGCAGAGTGTCTGCAAAAAAAGCCTTATTTTATTCCAGATTGGGAAGATTCTAATCTCAATCTTCAGTGGAGAAAACAACAACTATTATAATTATATTTGTGTTTTCAAGTTTTAAGGTGCCTTTTACACATTTAACACATGTAAACTACACTGTTTCTTCGGAGAAGTTCTCTTCTTCATCCATCTCAGTATAAATGTGTTTTTCAGATGTGTTATACCTCACACAAGTTAAATTTACCTAAAATCTAACCTAACTATTTAGCATTGCGTTGTGATTTATAAGGACTGGATTAGCCTCGTGTTGAACTGGTGATGATCATGAGTAATAATTAAATAAAACATACATTTGTTATCCACTGG